TTTCAGTCAAAAACCTTTTAATGATTCAAAAAGTTTATTGTAGAATACCATGATGCCTTAAGATCGGTTTTCACCCTCAACTATCATCCAGCTATTGTAACAAAAAGAAATCAATCTTTCAGTCATGGAACCTACTTCATGTCCCAAATGCCTTTGTTCGTGGAAAGATCTGTACATTCCCAGCAGGTTAGGAATTGGGGCAGGCATGGGGGGAATCATTCTCCCAAAAGTAAAGCAGTGGGGAAAAAATGAAAGAATAGAGGGAACCAAAGGTGGAGAGGAAATATATGTTAATTTCAAATAGGAGCAGTAAAAATAACTCGGAAGGCAGAGGAGGATCTGAATTGTTATGGGACATTTCAGTTGGAAAATTCCAATTTCAGCAGCACATTGTAAGCTATGATTCCCCTTTTCTAGGAAGTTCAGAAATTACCCTCAGCCTTGCTATGTACAGTTCCTGGATCAGCAGCATTAAGAGGTTTCTAGAAATGTGGAATAGCAAGCCCCACCTTTCTTCAGTTTAACAAGATCTCCCAGGTAATTCATGAGTATTTTGAGAAGCACTGGTTCTGTTCCGGTCCTGGGGATCTTTCGGATCTAATGTGCTTACCTTGAATGACACAGATCTAGAGAGGACACTGGTTTTCCACCCTGGCTCCACCTGAGAAACACCCGAGTAATTTCACAGCAACTTGGACCCCTGTCTCTTCACATATTTAGATTCTGAGTTAACAGGTCTGGGGTGGGACCCCAGACATTAGTATTTTTTAAAAGCTCCTAGATTATCCTAACAAATGGCTTAGGGTAAGATCTACTTACCTAGACTAACACTTCATTTTGTAACAATTAAAACCCCAAACTACCATTAGAAAAGGACCTGGTGGTATCCCTACATTATATGATTTGGGAGTCCTCAAAACAACCTGTAAGGTGGATACAGCAGATATTGTTGTACTCTTTAACAAATATTGTTCTATCTGTTTAACAGAAAATTAGCTGGGAGCTGCTTTCCACTATACTATATTATAGAGCATTTAAATAACTATTTCCCTGGCTGATAATAGAGGAAAGTCTAGGTCGAAAATTAATACAACATCCTGTGTTTTCCAATGTGAGTCTACAAGAAAAGCCTGAACTCACTTTAAAGAAAAAATCACCAGTGCCAACCTCTTAATTTTATATGTGAGGAAACTGGGGCCCAGAGATTTGTCTCAAACCACAAGATTTTAGCTGAAATGAGAACTCAGATCTCCACCCTCCTAGTTCAGTATGTTTCCCACTAAACTGCATTTCCCAAGTGTGATACATCTTGTGGGATTCCACAAGATACTAACCACTGTTACACTGAAAAATGTTAGGTATGCTAAGTCACCTCTGGGTTAAAACAAATTCAGGAGTGTCCTTGACCTCAGGACTTCTCAGTTTTCACTGGGCTCCTGTGTCTTCTAGGAGAAGGAAATGGCAAGCCACTCCAGTACTCTTGCCTAGAGAATCCCGTGGACAGAGGAGCCTGGTGGGCTGCTCTCCATAGGGTTGCACAGAGTTGGACACGACTGAAGCGATTTAGCATGCATGCATGCATTGGAGAAGGAAATGGCAACCCACTCCAGTGTTCTTGCCTGGAGAATCCCAGGGACAGAGGACCCTGGTGGGCTGTCATCTATGGGATCACACAAGAGTCGGACGCGACTGAAGCGACTTAGCTGCAGCAGCAGCCTGTGTCTTGTGTGTCTTAGAGAGCTTTTAGATGGCATTTCCACAACTTATCAGACTATGGAACCACTTTTTTCAATCAAGAATCTTAAGGTGGTCCCATGCCAATGAGCAGACTTTGAGGAGGGCTGTAGGCTACTTGGCTTGAGTGGTTGGAAACAATTTATTCTGCCCCCAGAGGTAGGGCACCAGCTACAGTCACTGAAGGGGAGAGTATCATTAGTACCACGAAGCATCTGAAACGGCTGGCTCAAGGTTGCAGAACTATGGCCTCATCGTTTTAATTCCACCTTGTCCCTTAATAGACCATGCCTCAGACCCATACCCACAGTAGGAAGAGTCATTTTTGATGTCCTTCTTGCCGGATTGCTACCTTGTAATAAGCATTTTTCCTGTGTCAGTCTCTATACAAAGCACTTAACCCGGATTATCTTGTTTAATTTTTAAAACAATCCTGTGAGGTAAGGACTCTTAGTGTTGCTGTTTAGTTGCTAAGCTGTGTATGACTCTTTGGCGACCTCATGGACTACAGCCCCACCAGATTCCTATGTCCATGGGATTTCCCAAGCAAGAATAATGAAGTGGGTTGCCATTTCCTTCTCCAGAGGATCTTCCCCACCCAGGAATCAAACCCACATTTCCTGTGTTGGTAAGAAGATTCTTTACCATGAAGCCACCTGGGAAGCCCTAAGGGTTCTTAGTATTCCTACTTTAAAGTTTAAAAATCTGAGACTTAAAGAGGTTCAGTAACAAGTCCAAAGTCATACAGTAGTGGAACAAGGTTTTAAATCAATGCCAGATTCAGTTGTATGATTATGAGATAATGGTGCCACTATAAATGATCTTTTTTACCATTTATCAGAGTGCTTATTCCATTTATTGGGGAGGGGGGACTTTTTGAGGAACTTTTAAGAACCAAGGGAGCTAACAAGTCTGAAATGTGCAGTGCAGGCCAGTAGGCTGGAAATCCAGCAGGAGTTAATGCTGTAGAATTGACTCTGAAGGCAATCTGGAAGCAGAATTCTTTCTTCTCAGCCTTTTCCCTTAAAGATTTCAACTGACTGGAATCATCCAATCATCAGTTATGGAGGACAATCTGCTTTACTTGAAATCTACTGATTCAGCATGAAAACACAAAAGACAAATAGCCAAAGCAATCCTGAGAAAGAAAAGTGAAGCTGAAGGAATCAGATTCCCTGACTTCACACTATACCACAAAGTTACAGAAATCAAGACAGTATGATACTGGCACAAAAATGGAAATACAGATCAATGGAACTGCACAGAAAAGACAGTCTCTTTAACAACTGGTACTGGGAAAACCGAACAGCTACACGTAAAAGAATTAAATTAGAACACTCCCTAACACTATACACAAAAATAAACCTGAAATGGATAAATGGATTAAAAACCTAAATATAAGATAAGACACTATAAAACTTTTAGAGGAAACCATAGGCCATTCTTTGACATAAATCACAGCAAGATCTTCTATGATCCACCTCCTAGAATAATGAAAATAAAAACAAAAAATTAATGGGATCTAATTAAACTTAAAAGCTTTTACACAGCAAAGGAAACCATAAATAAAGCAAAGAAGACAACCCTCAGAAAGGGAGAAAAACTGTCAAAATACACGCTGTTAGCATTGGTTACCCTGGCAAGATAATATTAGAAGAAACTTTTGCTTTCTAAGTTATACATTTTGACTTTACTTGAACTTTTACAAGGAAGATATTACTTTATAATCAGAAAAAAAAAAGATAATTTAAAACAATTTGTGACATTGCACACAGCCCCAAAATGGAGCGGGGGGGATCATTATCTTTAGCCGCTGGGGCAAATTTTGAAACTTTTAGATGAAAACTGGGTATATGTGGGGAGTTTGTGCATTAAATCAGGGGGAAGTGGTGTAATACAGCCTTGGCTCACAACAGTGCCTCAATAATGTTTAATAACTGAATTTATAATTAAACTCAGTAATGTTTAATAATTGGACTTAAAAAGTAGATACGACTTGTCTTTTTCCCAAGTGCATGAAAAAATAGGTACTTACCACCAGAGCTTAAAAAAACAGAGGGTCTTCCCTCAAAAAATGAAGGCCATAGTCTAAGTTAACTTAACATCACCCGTTTTCCCCTCTTCACTGCCTTCCAACAATTTGATTCCCTTTTGTTCCCATTCTGATTTCCCTTGTCATCTTACCGTTTTTTAATATTGCCTGTTGGAACCACAAGAGGGCCTCATGTACAAGAAAGACTCTCAGGCATTGGTAATTATAAAAAGCAAAGGCAGGAGACACCTAAAAAAAGTGTTACCAAAACTTTAGAGATTTCAGCATCTTGCTTTCAATAGGTGTGGGACTACATTTAATGTCCTGTTGGAAATTATAAACAATGAGTGGAGAATAAATTGGTTACCCTGGCAAGATAATATTAGAAGAAACTTTTGCTTTCTAAGTTATACATTTTGACATTACTTGAACTTTTACAAGGAAGATATTACTTTATAATCAGAAAAAAAAAAGATAATTTAAAACAATTTGTGACATTGCACACAGCCCCAAAATAGAGCGGGGGGATCATTATCTTTAGCCGCTGGGGCAAATTTTGAAACTTTTAGATGAAAACTGGGTATATGTGGGGAGTTTGTTCATTAAATCAGGAGGAAGTGGTGTAATACAGCCTTGGCTCACAACAGTGCCTCAATAATGTTTAATAACTAAATTTATAATTAAACTCAGTAATGTTTAATAATTGGACTTATAAAGTAGATACAACTTGTCTTTTTCCCAAGTGCATGAAAAAATAGGTACTTACCACCAGAGCTTAAAAAAACGGAGGGTCTTCCCTCAAAAAATGAAGGCCATAGTCTAAGTTAACTTAACATCACCCGTTTTCCCCTCTTTACTGCCTTCCAACAATTTGATTCCTTTTTGTTCCCATTCTGATCTCCCTTGTCATCTTACCGTTTTTTAAAATTGCCTGTTGGAACCACAAGAGGGCCTCATGTACAAGAAAGGCTCTCAGGCATTGGTAATTATAAAAAGCAAAGGCAGGAGACACCTAAAAAAGTGTTATCAAAACTTTAGAGATTTCAGCATCTTGCTTTCAATAGGTGTGGGACTACATTTAATGTCCTGTTGGAAATTATAAACAATGAGTGGAGAATAAATTCATGCTGGTGAGTGGAGCTAATATATCTCCCTCTCTTCCAGATGCTGCCCAGAAGAGGTGAGATAGAAAAGAGAACTGTCTAAGACATCTAATGTAGACGCTTGTACCAGGATGGAAGGGGAATCTTACCACAACGCGTCTACCGTCAATGGCACCCCAGTGAGTCACCAGCCTTTGGAACGCCATGGGTTGTGGGAGGTCATCACCATCGCAGCTGTCACGGCTGTGGTGAGTCTGATCACCATCGTGGGCAATGTCTTAGTCATGATCTCCTTCAAGGTCAACAGCCAGCTGAAGACAGTTAACAACTATTATCTGCTCAGCTTAGCCTGTGCAGATCTCATCATTGGGATCTTCTCCATGAACCTCTACACCACGTACATCCTCATGGGACGGTGGGCTCTTGGGAGTCTGGCTTGTGACCTTTGGCTTGCGCTGGACTATGTGGCCAGCAATGCTTCTGTCATGAACCTTCTGGTGATTAGTTTTGACCGCTACTTTTCGATCACAAGACCCCTCACGTACCGGGCCAAGCGTACCCCAAAGAGGGCTGGCATCATGATTGGCTTGGCCTGGCTGATCTCCTTCATCCTCTGGGCCCCAGCGATCCTGTGCTGGCAGTACTTGGTTGGGGAGAGGACAGTGCCTCCAGATGAGTGCCAGATCCAGTTCCTCTCTGAGCCCACCATCACTTTCAGCACTGCCATCGCCGCCTTCTACATCCCTGTATCTGTCATGACGACTCTCTACTGCCGCATCTACCGGGAAACGGAGAAGCGGACCAAGGACCTGGCCGACCTCCAGGGCTCAGACTCTGTGGCTGAAGCTGAGAAGAGAAAGTCAGCTCACCAAGCTCTGCTCAGGTCCTGCTTCAGCTGCCCCCGGCCCACCCTGGCCCAGAGGGAGAGGAACCAGGCCTCCTGGTCATCCTCCCGCAGGAGCACCTCCATCACTGGGAAGCCATCCCAAGCCACCGGCCCGAGCACTGAGTGGGCCAAAGCCGAGCAGCTGACCACCTGCAGCAGCTACCCCTCCTCCGAAGACGAGGACAAGCCCCCCACTGATCCAGTCTTTCAAGTGGTTTACAAGAGTCAGGCTAAGGACAGCCCAAGGAAAGAGTTAAGTGCTGAAGAGACTCAGCAGACTTTTGTGAATGCTCAAACTGAAAAAAATGACTATGACACCCCAGAATACTTCCTGTCTCCAGCTGCTGCTCATGGGCCCAAGAGTCAGAAGTGTGTGGCCTACAAGTTCCGACTGGTGGTGAAAGCTGAGGGGACCCATGACACCAACAACGGATGCCGCAAGGTAAAAATCATGCCGTGTTCCTTCCCAGTGTCCAAGGACCCCTCAACAAAAGGCCTCGATCCCAACCTCAGCCATCAGATGACCAAACGAAAGAGGATGGTCCTCGTCAAAGAGAGGAAAGCCGCCCAGACCCTGAGCGCAATTCTCCTGGCTTTCATCATCACTTGGACTCCTTACAACATCATGGTCCTGGTTTCTACCTTCTGCGACAAGTGTGTCCCAGTCACCCTGTGGCACCTGGGCTACTGGTTATGCTATGTCAACAGCACTGTCAACCCCATTTGCTATGCCCTCTGCAACAGAACCTTCAGGAAGACCTTTAAGATGCTGCTGTTCTGCCGATGGAAAAAGAAAAAAGTGGAAGAGAAGTTGTACTGGCAGGGGAACAGCAAGCTCCCCTGAAAATTAACAACTCCCCTCAAAGTATAACCATGATCGAGGTCCTCTGAGGGTGGGCCAGCTGATTCTTGTTTACTTTCCAAAAAGACCTCCGTCCCTTTGAGTCCCCGAGGACTCTGTAAAGGATCAAGGTCTACTGTCAAACGGAAGGAGTCACAGCTCCCGCAGTCACTGCCAGACTGACTGACCCTTGTCTTTGACCGAGACACGAGTGTCTGGTGCCACTGGAGTTTTCCACTGAAGGAAAGAGACAAACTCCTGCCCCTTCACAGGAAGAGGCACCCTGGGTCACAGTGAACAGCAGCTGAGGGAGCTCCTGTCTAACCTTCTGTGGGGAGCAGCGAGAAGAGAAACCTGGTCAGAGTTCTGTGCAGTACGTTTGTGTCTATGCAGTTGTCTCATCTCAGCGAAAACCGGGAAGATGAAGTCAGTGTCACCTGTTAACAAGAGCGATATTCAGCTGGCTTCTAGGACTCTATTCCTTCATAAACTGATCAGTATTTATTATGCTGCTACTATGTGTTCTATACTGTGGTGTGTTTTCCTGTTCCTACATCTGAGTGAAGCTCTTGCTTCTCCCTTTCACAACTGATGCCACTTCCTGGTACCCACGGAGGCCAGGCTGGTCCCCACAGAACCACCCTTCCCCTCAGAGTCTCGGGGCTGAAAGGACACTGGAACCCGATCACACCCAGTCCTACAGAGGGGCCTCTATTCTGCTAATAAAGATCACCAGGTCTCCACAGTCAATTATTTTGTTTTTACCAATGGGAAGTTTTTCCTTTTACGCAAACAAATACTATGTATTCTAGTTTGTGCCCTTTTGAACCCAGTTACTTAGGCTGGTCCTTAGGAAGATTCATTGTATGAAAGCCCTTTACTGGGTAAAGACCTTTTCCAATCTGTTTAATCACGGTTCTCAAATGGTTTTCAGAAGGCTTACATTCTCATTTCTTCACAAGGCAAACCTGAGGCAAAATGTGCAAAACAAATTTGTTTTTGCTCCATGCTTTTGAATTTCTTCCAGTCCTTTTGGCAGGCCCTCATCCAGACCCCTAATTCATACCCAGGCACAAGCAGGCCACTGTGATGCTTCCAGTCAGAAGTGTTGTTTAGAAAGACAGTGGGGGAAAGGCTGTTTAAAAAAAAAATAGGTCTTTCAAATCATGGCTTGGAAATGACTGACTTATTCATCTCCAAATTCCCCAAAACAAGAAGCCCGGAAAAATAGTTGAGATCCAGTAAAGCTGGCTATGGTCATTAAAAATGACCATATTTTCTTTAAAAGCAAAAATGTAGGCCACAATAATATATAAAAATAAAGTTATCAACCTAGGGAATTCCCTGACGGTCCAGTGGTTAGTGCTCCACACTTCCACTGCAGGGTGCACAGGTTCGACCCCTGGTCAGGGAACTAACATTCCGCATGTCATGCAGTGTGACCCAAAAGGAAAAAAAATTAATCAACATACATGTAAGTATCAAGATTATCAAAAGAAAAATTTTAATTGCAATCTGTGTATACAAATAAACCAAATCTCAGAGTTTCCTTTGATAATTCTGAAAATTAACTAACATGCAAAAAATTAAAACAATACAATAGGGCATAAAATTAATGGTCCACAAAGAAAGCAGCAATATAGCACACAGCAAGGATTTTAAAGTTGAAGCACTTCTGTCAGATAGAAGCTCATATGTAACCTGTCGACTATAGCTGCAGTTGTATGTAAAAATCTCTGGACTTCTTTTCACCTAATGTGGGCCAGTTCTTTTTCTGCCTCCTTTGCTGAGGGGATATAAAAATATCAGGCTTCATTGTCCTGGGAATTTGGTAAGTGAATATAGGAGAGTTTCAACCTTCCACTGAAGAGTGAACTGGCCTCCTCGAGGGAGTCCCAAGAAGGCTTCACGGAAGTGGAAACCCAGGCCTCTTAATGCTGAGATGGAACATCTTAGAAGCAGTATAGCTGTTGAGTCTTTATGAAGGTTGACGCCTGCCAAGAATTTGATAGAGAATATTAATGAACTGGCTCAGTTCTCCAAGACAGAGACTCCCAGGTCTATAGGATGCCAACAGGGTGTGCAAACCTGTTCCACCAGCTCTAGATAAACAGTTGATTCTTTTAGTTTAAGGCTTTGACTCCTGACAAAAGTGAAAATCCCTCCAAGAGAATAGTGCTCTGAGCTCATTCACTGTTCACAGTAGAGAGAGAGATTAAGCTAATTCAAACAAAAGGACACAGAATGGAGGGGGAGGGTTGCTGGGGGCCCATCTTTCTCACTCTACAATTGCCTAGAACTTAGACTTTTTGGTTGTCTTTTGTGAAATTAATTGAGAGGCCTAGGTCTCCTTCATCATGGGCTTTGGGAGGCAGCCAGTTATGCAGACTACCTATGTCCCTTAACAAAGACAAAAAGGATGCCTTAAACTACTAGGGGAAGCTAGACTTCTTTAGAATAGGGCCTCTGGTGGGGTCCTCAGAATGAACAGCTCCAACTGTAACTATAGGGACCTGACTAGTGGATGGGTGGGGTGTGGGCCGGCTTTGGATTTTAGGCCTTCTTATGTCCCATCTCCAAAACTCCGTCTGTGGTAAATTGTGTGCAGCCTTGATTAGTTGCCTATTGGATGCCGCCATGTTGCTAATATTGTGGTTTGTTTCTCCTTGGTGTGAATCTGATGGCTTGCCAAGGCATCTGTTTTCAGTACAGTTTTTGGTTAAAGCATTTTGTCAATATTCCTGGTTTCCGCGTTGTTGCTTTGGTGACTGTCCTTTGAGGGCGATGCTAATGTTTGGCTCTGTCATTGTGAAATCTGTACCTAATCTCTGGGTAGGAAAATACCATTGTCTCCTGTAAATACTGGAATTACAGCAAAGGATGTGGGAACTGGGCTGCTTTCCTGTATTGTACTAGCATTATTCTGGATATTAAAGAAATATAACCACACAGTAGTCCAAGGCAAAGTGTTAAATAAGCAAATGGTCTCAGCGAGCTTGCTAGATCTATCTATGTTAAAAATTACACACACACTCACATGGCCTGGCCTTTTAAGAGGAGAGGGATTGATACATAATGTAGACACGTGTGCCCCTTGTCACCTTTGTGGTTTCCCCCTTTCCTCTAATTTCTTCCAAATTAAGATGAAATAATGCTGACAAAATTCCTATGACTAAAACGCTTCCATTTCCCTCCAGGACAAGGGAGATGAGGCAGACCTCAAACCACAGCCCTTGAGCCAGTCAGTATAGACCCTGGAACAAAACAGAACAGCAACCTTTCTTCTCCAGCTGCTCAAAGAGCTAGTGCCCTGGTCATTTCACTCCCATTGTTAGTGATACTAATTCTCATCACACCCACTCAAATCACCAGTAAAGTGTGAGATTATATAAATTCTTTCCCATAAGAGCCCCAGATAGTGAGTGGGAAGAGGAATGGAAATGTTTTTAAGTGCCCAGAAAGGAACCAGAAGAAAGATTTTTTTAAACATACAACTTTTTTTTGGGGAGGGGGAGATAATTTTAAACTTAGAGAAAAGCTTCCAGAATAGTACAAAGGGGGCTTCCCAGGTGGTTCAGTGGCTAAGACTCCATACTTCCAATGCAGGGGTCCTGGGTTTGATCCCTGATAAGGGAACTAGATCCCATATGCCACAACTAAGACCCAGTACAGTCACATGAATGTTATAAAAATTTTAAATTAAAAAAGAATAGTACAAAGAACTCAGATACCCTTCACCCACATACCCTTATTATTAACATTTTGCACATTTGTGCTGTGTGTGTGTATGTGCATGTGTTACGGGCAGGGAGGGGTGATGGTACCACCTGAAATTACCTGTGATTAGGCAAAGAACATCAAAGTCTAATCACAGCTCATGGTCTGCTCACTGCACTTTACCATCATTCAGGCTTGTCTACGTTAGTGAGCCTTGAAAGTGAAAGTGACAGTCACTCGGTCATGTCCAACTCTTTGCGACCCCATGGATTATACAGTCAATGGAATTCTCCAGGCCAGAATACTGGAGTGGGTAGCCTTTCCCTTCTCCAGGGGACTTTCCCAACCCAGGGATTGAACCCAGGTCTCCCACATTGCAGGCAGATTCTTTACCAGCTGAGCCACAATGGAAGCCCAAGAATACTGGANCTTTCTGTGTACAGAAACAGATCTTTTAAAACACACAGAGCTGCTAAGTACTGTTTGGCAATCTTAATGTTCATATCTTGCAGGAAATAAGACCACTCAAGTTCTTTAAGAGCAGAAAATCATAAGGCTTCAATTAACACGGGGAACTCCTATCCATAACTAAATGTAGATTAGCAAGAGGTCTCTTCTGTCCTTTTTCATCTCTTTTAGATGCACATAAATGCCCCAAACCTTTGTACCCTTTTTCCCTTCACCATCTTCTTAGATTTAAGGACCACTATCCAGGCAACCTGACTACTTCTTTCTTTAGTTACTCCTTTGTTTCAGCAAATAATGATTCATCTCTGGGGGAACCGTGGGATTACAAAGAGGAATGAGACACTGTCCCTGCCTCCAAGAACACGCTAACAGCATGCGGGACAGAACAACAGTACAAAGAGAATCACGCTGATGGGGGGAGGCTTCCGGTTCTCCTGCTCTCCAAGCACAAACATTTCCTCTCTCCAGGCCTCTGTTTTCCCTGCCCTTTGGTGCGGAGGGGGAAACTAACACCAAAACTTGAACCATAAGAAGTAGAACACTTATATGACTGAGAAGAGAATGAGAGGGAAGAATAACAAAATGAATGTGGATTATATCCAACATTTTACTTAAACGCTCTCAGGTAATTTTTTTGGTCTTTTTTTCCCTCAGTTTGGTTTCCAGGCCTTTCAGAAAGGAGTCTTGCCCTGTCTGGATATAGCCTAACCTTCCTATTCCATAATCCGATCCCTTCTTAAGGTAGAGGTCAGGTAGGCATGCAAAAGTTAGAGAAGGTACCAATAGGATTCTGCAAGGATAGTTTCAAAATCAAATAC